CTACCTGAAGCACAACGACTGGCTCTCGTGAGTTGCCTTTCCTTGTCAAGGTGTAGGGATAAGAAAGTATGAAGCCATCTGCAGCCGGTGCTTGTGGTGCACGGGCTCATGGTGATCATGGCGTGGGCCGTATTGATGCCCTTCGGTGTCCTTGCTGCTCGCTACCTCAAGCACAGTGACTGGCTCTCGTGAGTGTAAATTACTCCTTCGCCTTCGCCTTCGCCTTCTTTCACTAGAGTTCTGGATTGGCTCCTGCAGCCGGCGGTTGTGGTGCATGGGTTCATGGTGACCATGGCGTGGGCTGTGCTCATGCCCTTTGGCGTGGGCCGTGCTCATGCCCTTTGGCGTGGGCCGTGCTCATGCCCTTTGGCGTGGGCCGTGCTCATGCCCTTTGGCGTGGGCCGTGCTCATGCCCTTTGGCGTGGGCCGTGCTCATGCCCTTTGGCGTGGGCCGTGCTCATGCCCTTTGGCGTGGGCCGTGCTCATGCCCTTTGGCGTGGGCCGTGCTCATGCCCTTTGGCGTGGGCCGTGCTCATGCCCTTTTGGCGTGCTCGCTGCTCAATATCCAAAGCACAACAACTGGCTCTCGTGAGTTGTTTTCATCGACACTTCAAAGCATGTGTACCCAGTGTTTGTGGTGTGGTGCGCCCATGAGTTCATCATGCCTAGCTCTCGTGAGTTCATCCTGACTGCTCCCACTCTCATGCTCATAGGGCACGGCTTCTCGTTTCCCCCATGTTGCTTCCCACCATTCCGCCCTACACACCCATTTATTTTTGAGTCGACTCAAAAATAGACTCATTACACACGCCCTACACACCCATCTATTTCCCCTGTTCCCCTGTGCCCTTGTCAATGCAGCATCCACCTGTACACGCAGTACTCCGCCCTCGCGCTCATGCTCCTGGGTCTGCTCGTGCTTTACCTAACGCTTCCCCTGCCGTTTTCTCTGTTCTCCCCTGTTTCTGTACACCTCTGTGTCGCCAATGCAGCATCCACCAGTACACGCAGTACTCTGCTCTCGCGCTCATGCTCCTGGGGCTGCTCTTTGCTGTTGGTGAACTCGGCGGGTGAGAGACTATGTCCCTTGTGCTCTCCTGTCCCTTGTGCTCACCTAGTCCTAGTGCCTGGACCCCCCCATGCGTACACCACCGCATGCGTACACCACCCCATGCGTACAACCCCCCATGCGTGCATTTTGAACTTCGGAGAAATTGGCTCTCCACGCCCCCCTACCCTTGTCCGATCTGCTTGTGTTTCCCTTCTCCCCTGTTCCCAGGTACCTTCAGTATCGACCTTTCTCCCCCTCCCCCGCCTTACCTTGTCACTTCTACCTGTTTCCCCCCTTCTCCTGTGCCTTCTCCCATGCCCCCTAATCCCCCCCCCCCCCTCAGCATCGATCTCTCATCCAACCATGCCATGATAGGAATGGCATCCGTTGCCCTGGGCTGCCTTCCCCCCCCCTCATTCCTAACCTTGTTGCTTCTACCTGTTTCCCCCCTTTCTCCCGTGCCTTCTCCCGTGCCTTCTCCTGTGCCTTCTCCCGTGCCTTCTCCCGTGCCTTCTCCCGTGCCTTCTCCCGTGCCTTCTCCTGTGTCCCCTACACCCCTGCCCCCCCTCAGGATCGATCTCTCATCCAATCATGCCAAGATAGGGATGGCAACCTTTGCCCTGGGCTGCTTCCAGCCAATCAATGCTTTCTTCCGCCCACCCAAACCCTCTCCTGGGGAGAGGCCCCAGATGAAACGGGTCATCTGGCAGTGGGTGCACATGTGAGTGCGTTTCATCTGGCAGTGGGTGCACGTTTGAGTGCGTTTCATCTGGCAGCGGGTGCACATGTGAGTGCGTTTCATCTAGCAGCGGGTGCACAAGTGAGTGCGTTTCATCTGGGAGTGGGTGCTCATGTGAGTGCGTTTCATCTGGCAGTGGGTGCTCATGTGAGTGCGTTTCATCTGGCAGTGGGTGCACATGTGAGCGCCTTTCATCTGGCAGTGGGTGCACATGTGAGTGCGTTTCATCTGGCAGCGGGTGCACATGTGAGTGCGTTTCATCTGGCAGTGGATGCACATGCGAGTGCTGTCTTGGATGCATACACCGATTACCAGGATCTTGTGTTTCTCCTCGGTGCATCCAAGTTACTTAGCTGTAGTTGCGCATTTCTCTGTTACCCCACCACCCTGCACTACACTGCAGTCTTTTTGGCCGGCGTTCGGTGGTGGTGGGGGGAGCTGCGCTGGTGACCGGGATAACAGGGTTGGGCAAAACAGGGGGCGGCGACTACACGGTGGACGGATTTCCCTGGACCCCCACAACCAGCACTCTTCCTTATTGCATTTGCCTAATTTGCATACTCTGACCCCCCCCTTTTATGTGCAGCCTTTTTGGCCGAGGAGCGTTGGTGGTGGGGGGCGCGGCGCTGGTGGCGGCGGATTCACACGTCCCCCTGTTTACCTCCCCACAACGAGGTGCCTTTTGAAAGTCACAACGACTCAAAAGTCACCTAGTCGACTCAAAAGTCACCTCGCATTCACACTTCCCCTGTTTACCTCCCCACACCCCCCCATCCGCCAATCCCTCTAGTCTTTCCGGCCGGGGATCACTCCTGGTGGGAGGCGCGGCGCTAGTGACAGGGATAATTGAGTTGGGCGAAACAGGTGGCGATGACTACACGGTGGACAACTTCCTGTGGGCCATGCTGGGCTGGTTCGCCATCATCGCTGCCTTTGTGTGGTTTGTGGAGCGCACAAGACGGCAAGACCAGTGAGTGCCATCACCTCAACCTTCCTCAAACCCTGGGGGACTGATCACATGGTGGTGGTTGGTTTTCTGTGGGCCATGCTGGGCTGGTTCGCCATCATCGCTGCCTTTGTGGTTTGTGGAGCGCACAAGACAGCAGGACCAGTGAGTATTGAGTGGCTAGTTAACCGAAACCTTGAGTGGCTAGTGAACCTTAGAGAGGCTCACTACACGGTGGACAGCTGTGGGCCATGCTGGGGTGGTTCGCCATCATCGCTGCCTTCGTGTGGTTCGTGGAGCGCACCAGGAGGCAGGGCCAGTGAGTGCTCTGTGCATGTAGACCGAACTCTACTGAACTGGAGAGAAAAGTGGGGGGGGGGAGGGGGAGGACGGGCTGTGAGTGCAGGGTAACTGGCTTCCTGTGGGCCATGCTGGGGTGGTTCGCCATCCACGCCCATCCACGCCCATCCACGCCCATCCAAGCCCATCCACGCCCATCCACGCCCATCCACGCCCATCCACGCCCATCCACGCCCATCCAAGCCCATCCACGCCCATCCACGCCCATCCACGCCCATCCAAGCCCATACAAGCCCATCCACGCCCATCCACGCCCATCCACGCCCATTCAAGCCCATCCACGCCCATCCACGCCCATACAAGCCCATCCACACCCATCCACGCCCATCCAAGCCCATCCAAGCCCATCCAAGCCCATCCACGCCCATCCAAGCCCATCCACGCCCATCCACGCCGATCCAAGCCCATCCACGCCCATCCACGCCCTCATGGCTGCCTTGGTGTGGTTCGTGGAGCGCACGAGAAGACAGGACCAGTGAGTCACACCACTTCAGCCTCATCCTTCAACCCTGAACCTGAAACCCTGGAAGGGGGGGGAAGGGAGGGAGGGGGTGGGGGGTTTTATACTCTATGTGGAGTCCTGTGGGGCGTGCCATGGTGGGTTGGTTCGCCATCATCGCTGCCGTTGTGTGGTTTGTGGAGCGAACAAGACGGCAGGACCAGTGAGTCACAGCACTTGAGCCTGGTCCTTCAACCCTGAACCTAAAACCCTAGAAAGGGGGGGGAGATGGGCGGGGTGTGGGTTTGTGGGGGGCTATGCTGTTTGTGGGTTCCTGCGGGCTGTGCCATGGTGGGGTGGTTCGCACTGTTGTTGCCGTCGTGTGGTTTGTGGAGTGCACGAGACTGCAGGTTCAGTGAGTGATGACGTGGCAATACAGTACTTATCAGTGGTTGCAGGGAGGTGGGGGCAGGGCAGTGGTCGGCTGATGCATGCCAGCCTACTGTTCACTGGTTGCTTTTCCTCTGCTTTTCCTCTGCTTTCCTCTGCTTCGCTCTGCTTTCCTCTGCTTCGCTCTGCTTTCCTCTGCTTCGCTCTGCTTTCCTCTGCTTCGCTCTGCTTTCCTCTGCTTCGCTCTGCTTTCCTCTTCTTCGCTCTGCTTTCCTCTGCTTCGCTCTGCTTTCCTCTTCTTCGCTCTGCTTTCCTCTTCTTCGCTCTGCTTTCCTCTGCTTCCTCCCTCCTCCACATCTCCCACTCTTCACCCGGCGCCGGTATGCTTGTACATACCTGCTACTCTCCTGCCCATCGTACACCCCTTACTCAATACAGTGCCACACCGCAAGAGCTGGCCAACATGATTCGGCATGACTGGAACGGGTCGTCGTCAGCATCATCGGACATGCATGTGACACAGCTAGACAGCGAGGACAGTGAGGACGACACCCGCACCCTCATCCCCTCCACCGTCCGCTCCTCCTCCTCCTCCTCCTCTTCCTCCTCCACTCCTGCCCACACATTCAGCTCCTCTCAACCCAACTCCTCTCAAAACGTTAATGGATGGCCTGGATCTTCTGCCTCTCCTGCCCGGGGAAATCCATCTAATTCACCTGCCCGGTTGGGCCCTACTGCTGCTTCACCTGCCCGGTTGGGCCCTACTGCTGCTTCACCTGCCCGGTTGGACCCTACTGCTGCTTCACCTGCCCGCATGGCCAACTCTGCTTCCCCTGCTCACGGCCTGCCTGTGATAAGGGAGGGGAGGGAGGCTTGGGTTGGTGGACAAGGGAATAGGAGAGGTGGGTCGGCGGAGGATCATGATGGGGAGATAGAAATGGGGACTATTAAGGGTTGAAAACACTTAGGCTCATAGTGTTTGGGTTGATTAGTGTTAATTTTTGTTTCTCAAGTGAAAGTTTTCATTGCTGCCCCTCAAGTTGATTGCTGGGCTGGGGGCACTGCCAAGGAATCAACAGTTCGAAAACCATTGATAACAGACACCCGTGAGTACAATACATGGCAGTACAGCTCTAAACCCTATCCTACGGTACACTGGACACGCCATACAGGAAACGAAAGAAAACACTGCACATTTAGAATCATTCCAGCATCAGTCAAACAATCCCCTGACTTTGTACCGGGTGTACTTGCCGCTGCTGCTGTATCTTTGCTCCTTGTCCGACCCCACCCTACACTCCCCTCCTCATCTCCGTCCGCCCTTACCACCCCTTCCCTTTCTCTTGATCTCTGCGATCTCCGCGTGGAGCAGGGCGATCTTCTCCCTTCTTCAGCGAGGCATGACCACGTAATTTTCCAGCAGCGTTTCCCGGTACAGCAGAATCACAGCCAACCGTCCCCTGGCTCTGCTCTAAGTGTACTTGCTGCTTCTGCTGCTTCTGCTGCTGCTGCTGCTTCTGCTGATGCTGCTGCTTCTGCTGCTGCTGCTTCTGCTGCTGCTGGTGGTGCTGCTGGTGCTGCTGGTGCTGCTGGTGCTGCTAATGCTCCAGAATCAGAAGCACCACCCTCAGCCCCACCACCACCCACTGCATCAACCTCTCCTCCACTCCTCCTCTCGACCCCTCCCCGTCCCTGCATCTCCGCAATTTCCGCCTGCACCAGGGCGATCTTCTCTCTGAGGCTTTGAACGACCACTTGGTTCTCCAGCAGCGCTTCCCGGTACACCGGATCCGGCTCTGCGATGTCCGCGGCTTGGAGCTCCTCGTTAGAGCGTATAAGATGCCGGACGGCGTTCTGCAGCCGCTTTTCTTCTAATTCTAAGAGTTCTAACTGCTGCTGAAGGTCCTGGGTTAGCTGACGCATCGGGAGGAGCGGGGTGGAGGATTGGCTCGGAAGAGGCTCGGAAGTGGTTCGGACTTGGGAATTGCTAGGGGAGGGTTGGGCGTGCCTGTCTGGTTGCTCTTGCGCGTGCCGCTGCGGCTGATGTTGCGCAGATGGATCGTCCAAGTGATGGTCGCTGCGATCCTGGTGATGGTGGTGATGATGATGATGATGATGGTGATGGTGATGGCGTTGACTTTGGGTGGACGAACGAGGGCCGCTGATTTGTGAAGGGTCTGTGTCGACATCCATGTCCGACGATATGGACGAACGCAAATCCAGTTTTACGAAGGCGCGAGACAGTAAAATATGAGTCTGGAGAGGGTAGTGAAGAAGGGTTTGCCGAGGAGTGCTGAGCTATAAGTGACGGATGTTGTGTCGAAGGAACTGGATGAGGGAAAGATATATAAGAACATGGGCGATCACAAAAGTGGATTGAGTATGTACTGTATCGCGTATGAGATGTTGTGGCGGTTCGTTGAACATCTTTCGGCCAATCCCTTTGCTCCACGAAGGCGAGAAACTTCAAGCCCAGCTTCCTCAGATTTTCCCGACAAGTCCCGAAAGAGCAGCTTTCCTCAGATTCTCCGGAGGATATCTGTCCTTGCTGGACCGTTCCGCCAATGACCATCGTGAGCCGACGATAACGTGGACGTAAAAGATGCCCTTTCCAAAGCAGGGGGAAAGCGCATGCCACGCTGGACGACAGTCATGGCAGACAAGCAGCTTTTGATCTGAGGCTGCTTCATTCCTCCTCACTCACACAGAGCAGAGCAGAGCCAGCAACGGAGATCAATAGGGCCCTGTGTAGTTCAGTATTTTATGACACGAATCAGGAATCAAGAATCCGACCTGCTAATTCAAGAATCATCCCTGAATCATACGTCTCCGTTCCAGCAAAATTACAAACCGTCTGGTGAGCTCTCTTCTTGATCCCGCCAGGCAGCGAGCGGATCATCGAGCTCATTGATCCCGCCAGGAAGATTCACATACCGTCTCCTTGCGTGACCGAACTATTACTGCATTCGGTTTCTTACCTTCAAATATGGCGACCATCGTGAAGCACGTGTCTCCCGCGAACCTCGCGCGCAAGTCGTCCAACCGAGCGTGCCTCGGCAAATCGGGAAGATCCCTCCAAGCCAACGCCAACTCCTTCACCCCTCGCACGGCTAAGATTCTCACCGAGATTGCCGCCGTGAGATCCGGCCAAAAATCGATTCCCGCCCGCCAGACCGCGACTATCAGAAGGACAGCGGTCGGGTCGGTTCGAGCCTCGGCGGCTGCCGGTGCTGACGTGGAGGAATGGAGCAAGGCGGCGCGGCTGGTTAGGCAGGAGCAGCTGGAGGGCCAGGCGCTGGACGTGCTTCAGAAGACCATCGATAGCTTCGAGCGACCCGCGTTCCCCTGCGCGCTTATTGCGGGCGACGTGGTAAGCACCTAGTAATCAATCCGTAAAAAGAAAGAAAGAAATAATAAAAAACCTTATAATTTATTCCCGTGCGCCATGATAGCACCTAGGTTTGGCACCCTGAAAGTCTACTGCTCCACTTGCGAATGTCATCTCCCAACCGTTTAAAGCATAATCTGTTAATCGGTTTGATACGTCTTCTCTTTCCTCTTCCTCCATTTTCACCCACATTATTTCTATCGTCAATTGATCTCCTTGTTTTGTTCACTCGTCGCCGGCAGGTGATCCTGCACCTGCTGCACCGGCTCGGCGCGCTGGGCGATGACCCCAAGGTGAAGATCGTGTTCATCGACACGTTCCACCTCTTCCCGGAGACGTACCAGTTCCTCAAAGACTGCGAGGTATGTGAGTGTGACAATGTGCGGTGTGCGACTGCGAGGTGAGAGCAGCACGAGGTGATGCGGGTGTGGCGTCTGAGCCAATGTCAAGGCCACCCCTTCGGCTCGTTCCACCTCTTCAGGGAGGCGTACCAGTTCCTCAAAGACTGCGAGGTGTGCTAGTGTGGGGTGTGCTAGTGTGGGGCGTGCGAGTGTGGCGCGTGCGAGTGTGGGGCGTGCGAGTGTGGGGTGTGCGAGCGGGAGGTGCGTGGATCGGGTGAAGCGCGCCACTTCTCGAAAAACGTGATCGGACGCGACGCCAGCCTTTCACATTCCGCTAGACGCGTTAGTTTTACAGAGCCAAAGTCGCCTTGACCAGTATGCCTTTATGGCCGACCATGCCCTTCCTTTTTCCCCGCGCCTCCCTTGTTTTTCGCTGTTTCTTGCTCCGCAGGAGCGGTTCGGCTTCAAGGCGGAGGTGTTTCAGGCGGCGGGGCTGAAGTCCAAGGAGGAGTACGTGGCAAAGCACGGCTCGGACCTCTTCATCACGGTGAGAGACGGTGTAGCTTGGACTGTGTAGCGGGTGAGAGAAGCTTCTTGCTACGGAGAGGGGAGTTGTACGGCATTCAGGCAATTTGCAATTTTAGAGGATCTAGGTAACCCAGAGCCGAACAGAAGTCAGAAGTCATGTTAATTCGGGGCCAGAGTCAGAACTCTGCTACATCCGAGAGTTACGGGTTTTACAGACCCCTGCCTGCCGGGATAAACTTTTAGGATTCTAAATATGGCTCCTCTGTAAACATCCGAGAGTTACGGGTTTTGCAGACCTCTGTATACGGGCTTTGCAGGCCCCTGCCTGCCAGGATTTCCGAGGTTGTTGGAACCCAAAGCCCCATGCGCAAACGAAATGATGAAATAAGTAGGCGAGCTGAGAGCGACTGCGAAGCTGCCAGGTGGAACCGTTGAGCTGAGATTTTCTTACCATGGCCGAGGTGTATTTTTTTAGTCCACTCGAAATACACCCAGAATACCTTTGAGTCGGCTTGATAAAAACCCAGAATACTTTTGAGTCGGCTCGAAATACAAGTGCAAGGTGGAACCGTTTACCTGAGATCCTCTGGTGATTTTTGAGTCGACTCAAAAATCAAGGTGGAACCGATTACCTGAGATCCTCTGACCATGGCCCAGCATGGACCATCCCTTCCCCCCCTGTGCCCCATCAATCCTCAACCAATCAGGACATCGACAAGATGTGCCCCTGTACACACGGCCCAGCACGGTGGAGCCGCTCAGCCGATATTTGGAGTGTCATCTTCCCTCCCCTTCCCCCCCCCCTTCTCTCCACCCCCCTTCTCCCCTCCCCCCTTCTCCCTTCCCCCCTTCTTCCCCCCCTTCTTCCCACCCTTCTTCCCCCCCTTCTCCCCCCCCCCCTTCTTCCCCCCACCCTTTTCCCCCCTCCCTTCTTTCCCCCCGCTTCTTTCCCCCCTCTCCACCAACCCCCATCAGGACATTGACGAGTACGATCAGATCTGCAAGGTGGAGCCGTTCAGCCGCGCGCTGACGTCACTCAACGTGGATGCGATGATCAACGGGCGGCGGAGAGACCACGGCGCCGAGAGGGCGCACCTGGAGGTGTTTGAGGACGGCGCGCCAGTCAAGGTCCAGCCACTGGCCTACTGGGAGTTCAAGGACTGCTTCGATTACCTGGAGAGGCACGGCGTGCCGCCCCACCCCCTGCACGCGGACGGCTTCCCCTCCATAGGCGACGTGCAGACCACTCTGCCCATCCCGCCGGCCAAGTGGTTCGAGTACGGTGGAGAGCGGTCAGGGCGGTTCCAGGGGCTGAAGAACAGGGATGGGTCGGACAAGACGGAGTGTGGCATCCATGTGGAAGACGCTGTCGCCTCCTCCCTCTCCCCTCCTTCCTCTTCTCTCTCCCCTCCTTCCTCCTCTCTCACACCTCCTTCCTCCTCTCTCACACCTCCTTCCTCCTCCCTCACACCTCCTTCCTCCTCCCTCACACCTCCTTCCTCCTCCCTCACTCCCCCGTCCTCCTCCCTCACTCCCCCGTGATTTGCCTCGTGGCTGAAAACCTAACAGAGGTGAGGTGAGGTTGCCACGAGGCACAATATCTTGCCGGTAGCTGTCTGATATGTCCTCTTGGGGAAATTTATTTTGGACGGTAAGGGATGTGATGGGATGGGATGGGATGGGATGGGATGGGATGGGGTGGGATGGGATGGGATGGGATGGGATGGTTGGGTCGAGAGGGTCCTTCCCTCCAGAGTCGAGACTAAGGCATGCGCGATCTTTTGTATCGCTCCCTGCCCCACCCTACGTGAAATGTTATGGCACCAGCACAGGATTAGACTACACGTGTAAGAGCAGACCTTGTTACTGCATGACACTTCACTCCATTGGATGTCTCTCTGTTGTATCACTGCTTACCTATCCACACTAATAGAAAACCACACTTCCAAATGGAGTGGCACTGATGTAAAGCGGCACAGCACACTGTTGGAACAATGGAATTGCGAACTCTCGCCCAAGTGAGGGGAGCAATGGCTGCTATGTTGAGTCTAAACAGACACATAATCAGTAAAGTAGCAACCTACAGTGCACATTGCATACAATACACTACTCGAATAACTGTATAAAGAATGGAGGTTCTATGCAGAACTGTTGATTTCGTTTGATGTAGCACATCTGGTTGACACCTGCATGGTAAGATCCAGTAAACGGTGCTGTTGCATTGCATGCACATGCAGCCAGAAAGGAGATCTGGAAGCAATGGTGAGTGCGTCGAGCATGGAAAGCACGCTGGTGTGCATGGCCATCCAGTAGAGCACCAGCAGCAGGTGCATCATGGGACATTGCAGTGACATGTATGTCAGATGAGACGCGTTCAGCCTCAAGAGACAGTGAGAGCGGCGAGCATGGCAAGCATGCCAGCATGCATGGCCATCCAGTAGAGCACCAGCAGCAGCCGCATCATGGGCCGGGCCATCAGCGACTGCCCTCCCGCCACACTGATAGGGGAGGAAGGGAAGAAGGAAGAGGGGTGGGAGGGAGAAAGGGAGGGACAGTGAGAGGCGTTAGCTTCATGGGTCACAAGCCAACATGCATGGGTCAACGCGCAATAGAGGGTACATGCTCTGGTTCCACTTTGTAATACGCACCAGAGGCGGTGGAATCTTTTGAGTCGACTCAAAAGTCACTTCTGGTTCCACTTAGTGATACCCACCAGAGGCGGTGGAAGCACACGCAAAGTGCAATCAGCACGTACCACAGTCGATCGATGCCCTTGGCGGCTGGGTGCAGGAAGGCAGGCAGGAAACGGAAGGCGCTGACGATTGACTTGAACCCGTGCACTGAGATGAAGAGGGGGGGGAGAGAGAGAAATGACGAAACGGAGGAAAGGAAACGGGAAGATTGGGGGTTAGTGTTAGAAGCAGGAAGCGGAAGGCGGAGCCTATTGACTTGAATCCATGCACTGAGATGAAGGGGTTAGAGGCAGAGAGGCAGGCGAGACCGAGCAGCAGGAAGCATCCTGAAAGTGCACGTGCGATGTGCAGGAAGCAATTTCAAGCCTTCCATCGCGATGTCGTCCAAACGGCTGTCCTGTGCATCCCACCTTCGTCATCGGGATACGAGTCAGCAATCCGCAGTGCCGTGTGGGCCGCCAGCGAGGAGGACGATGATGTGGCGAGCTGCTGCGCCAGCAGAGGCAAGTACTCTGCTGATGTGTCAGACGCGCCTCCCCCGGGTGTGGCCTTCCTCTGTGTGGTGACCGGCAACAGGGAGGACGCCGAGGAGGAGGTGGCGGGGGGTCCTGGTGGGTTGCTGGCCTTGCGCTTCTGGTGCGGGAATGGAGAGAGGCGTGCACAGGGAAACAGCCACAGGGAAAGAAGAGTAAGAAATAGCAGTGGTTATTTCAACGGCTGATAGCAGGGCAGTGGTTATGAGGGCAGTGGTTATGAGGGCAGTGGTTATGAGGGCAGTGGTTATGAGGGCAGTGGTTATGAGGGCAGTGGTTATGAGAGCAGTGGTTATGAGGGCAGTGGTTATGAGAGCAGTGGTTATGAGGGCAGCGGTTATGAGGGCAGTGGTTATGAGAGCAGTGGTTATGAGGGCAGCGGTTATGAGGGCAGTGGTTATGAGAGCAGTGGTTATGAGGGCAGTGGTTATGAGGGCAGTCAGGTGATTTCAACCACTGCTCGTAACCTAGTCCTTCATGTTGCAGGTGATTTTTGAGAGCGGAAAGAGAGCCCGGGGGGAGCCTCTTCCTGTGTGAGGCGTGACTGGCAGCAGAGTGGAGGCTGCTGAGGAGGAGGAGAGGAGGGGAGGTGAGGGGCCTGGCTTGCGCTTCTGACAGTGTGAGACGGTGGGGGACTGCTGCAGGGAGAAGGACGGCTGATTTTTTAGTCGACTAAAAAATCACCTTTCTAAGTCGCCTAAAAAATCACCTTTTTGAGTCGACTAAAAAAACACCTTTTTGAGTCAACTAAAAAATCACCTTTTTTAATCGACTAAAAAACCACTTGCGCTTCAGACGGTGTGAGAGGTTAGGGGACAGCGGGGGAGAGAGAAGGACGGATAATGCGGGGACAGAGAATCAAGACACGAGACCATAAAGCTCGTGACCCCCCCACGCGCACCCTCACTGCCCCGCCAATCCCAGTCAGGTATCCCCCCAAACCCCCCTGAACCACACCTCCCCCTTGTGCTCTCAACGTTTCTTCTGTCTCCCTCCGGGATGCCTCCAGTCTCCCCTCCAGCACTCTCACTGCCTCGCCATTCCCAATCCGGCAACTCCCCATAACCCCCATAACCCCCCATAACCCCCCATACCCCCCCATAACCCCCCATTCCCCCCAATTCCCCCACGAACCACCTCCCCCTTGTGCTCTCACCAGTTCTTCTGTCTCCCTCCGAGACGCCTCCAGTCTCCCTTCCAGCACTCTCACTGCCTCGCCCGCTGCTGCCACCTCATTGCGCAGCTCGGCATCCCTCTCTGCCACGTCACTGGGAGGAGTAAGAAGACCAGCACCCCCATCTGCCCGCGGCTGCTGTGGCAAAGAAGCATCACTCTGCGCTGCCTGCTCCTCTGGTTGAGTACCAACTTCTGCCTCAGCAGCAGGAGGCCCCTTGTCAGTGCCAGCAGCGGCACCAGGACCAGCACCACCAGAAGCAGTAGTGGTAGCACCAGCACCAGCAGCTGCCGCGGCGCCAGCACCAGAAGCAGCAGCAGCTGCAGCAGACCCTGCCACCCCTCGCAGTTGCGCCTCCCTCAGTTGCAGCCTTTCCTGCAGCTGCTGTAGCTCTGCGTCTTTTTCTCGTAGCATATCCGTCATTTCCCTCTCCTTCTCTCCCAACCTCTCCTCCATCTCCCGGTCCTTCTCCTCCAGCCTCGCCTCTGCCTCAAGCACCACCGCCTCTGACTGCAATCATGGTGCGCAGGGATGGATACGGATAGGGATGCTGTGTTGAGAGACTGGAATGCAGGGGATAGGGCATCGGGGCACAGCAAATATCCAGTCTCGCCTCTGCTTCAAGCACCACTGCTTCTGACCGCGAGGTGGGCAAAGGGATGGGGTGGGCATGTGGGGATAAGGTAGGTATGCATGCAGTCGGTTGGGGGGAGGGGGGGGAGGGGAACAAGCAGCGCGCTCTCACATCTCAGCAACCGAGCCCGCGTCCACTCTCACATGGCACATGTTTTATGTGGATGATAATTGTGTTTCGAGTTGTCTCTAAACACGATGTCTCAGCAACCGAGCCCCGCGCCCACTCTCACATGGCACATGTTTTACGTGGACGATAATTGTGTTTCGAGTTGTCTGTAAACACGATGTCTCAGCAACCGAGCCCTGTGCCCACTCTCCCATGGCACATGATTCAAAACTGTTCAAAAGCTCCTCAACCGGCAAACCTTCCCAGGGTCGCTTTTGAGTCGACTCAAAAGCTCCTCCACCTGCAAACCTTCCCAGGGTCGCTTTTGAGTCGACTCAAAAGCTCCTCCACCTGCAAACCTTCCCAGGGTCGCTTTTGAGTCGACTCAAAAGCTCCTCCACCTGCAAACCTTCCCAGGGTCGCTTTTGAGTCGACTCAAAAGCTCCTCAACCGGCAAAACTGTTCAGGCTCCTCAACCGGCAAAACTATTCGGGCTCCTCAACCGGCAAAACTGTTCAGGCTCCTCAACCTGCAAAACTGTTCAGGCTCCTCAACCTGCAAAACTGTTCAGGCTCCTCAACCGACAAAACTGTTCAGGCTCCTCAACCGGCAAAACTGTTCAGGCTCCTCAACCGGCAAAACTGTTCAGGCTCCTCAACCGGCAAAACTGTTCAGGCTCCTCAACCGGCAAAACTGTTCAGGCTCCTCAACCTGCAAAACTGTTCAGGCTCCTCAACCGGCAAAACTGTTCAGGCTCCTCAACCGGCAAAACTGTTCAGGCTCCTCAACCGGCAAAACTGTTCAGGCTCCTCAACCGGCAAACCTTCCCAGGTTCAGCAGCAAACGCCTTAGTAATTACCAGCGCTACTAGACATCCCGGATCAATCCACCTGCGCCTGCACTCACCTGCGCCTGAGCCCATCTGTGAGTGAACTTACCTGCGCCTGAGCCTCCTTAAGTTCTCCACCATCATCTTGAGCTTCTCCACTGCCTTGCAACCAACACTACCTGTACATGCTGTCCCCCCCTGAGCAATGCAGGCAAGAGTAAATCAACCCACCTGCGCCTGAACCTCCTTAAGCTTCTCCACCATCATCTTGAGCTTCTCCACTGCCTTGCTCCGTGCTGCTGCCACCGACGCCACCATCGCCTCCTTCTCCCCTACCTCCCTTCTTAACCTCTCCACTTCTCCATCCCTACCCTCCATTTCCCTTCGTAATCTCTCCACCTCTTCATCCCTCACCTCCACCTCTTTCCTCCACTTCTCCACCCCGCCATCCCACTCAGCAGCCCCCTGCCGCAGATTGCCAATCTCCCCTTCCCTCTCCTCAACCTGTGCTCTTAGCTCCTCAACCCTTGCTTCTTTCTCCCTTACCTCCCGCTTGAGGCTCTCTATCTCCTCTTCCTTCTCTTGCAATGCAACCTCCAATTGATCTAGCCTCTTTTCCCTCTCGCCCTTATCCCCGTCCTCCCCACCCCTCATCTCCCTTTCCCTCCTCTCCCATTCCCTCTCACTCCTCATTTCACCAACCTCACCCCGCATACCCTCAACCTCTCTCCTCATCTCATCTACCTTCCTCTCCCTCTCCTCAGCTTCCTTCGTCAGTCTCTCCCCTCTCCTCCTCTCTTCTTCCAACTCCCCTCTCAATCGCTCTCCCTCCCTCTCAACCCCCTCTTTCTCCGCCTGTAAACCACCCTTCTCTTCTTCTAGTCGCTCCTTCTCCCCTTCTAGGCGCGCCACTGCTGCCTTTAAGCCCCCCTTCTCCCCCTCCACCCGGCCAATCTCAGCCTGCAATGCGTCCCTCTCTCCTTCCAACTCCTCAATCCGACATGTCAGCACCGATAGCCGCTCTTCCCAACCCTGCTTCTCACCCTGCAATGCGTCCCTCTCTCCTTCCAGCTCCTCAATCCGACACCCCAGCACCGATAGCTGCTCCTCCAATCCTTGCTTCTCAGCCAGTGCCTGTTGCCCTGCTGCCACGAGTGCCACCCTTTCTGCCCTTAACGCGTCTCTCTCTGCTGTTAACGCGTCCCTCTCTGCCTCAAGCTCAAGAATCTTAGACTTCTGTAGCGATACGTGCTCTTTCTGCTCATTAACCTCGTTATAAGCTCTTTCTTTTTCCGCCTCTAGCTGCTCCTTCTCCACATGCCATTGCTCCCTTTCCTTCTCCACCTGTAACTGCAGCTCTGCTATTTGCCCCTCCAACTTCTCCTCCCGCTCCCTCACTCTCTCTTCCTCCTCCCTCACCCGCTCCTCCTTCTCCCTCACTCTTTCCTCCTGCACTCTCACTCTCTCCTCCTCCTCCCTCACTCTCTCCTCCTCCTCCCTCACTCTCTCCTCCAGCTCCCTCACCCTCTCTCGCACAGCCACCACATCCAGATCCTCCCCATTACCTCCTCCCTCATCTACCTCCTTCCTCTGCTCCTCCCCACTACCTCCTACCCCATCTTCCACCTGCTCCTCACGACTGGCCCGTGCCAGCTCAGAACGGACACTCACTAGCTCATCACGAGCACTCGCCAGCTCATCACAACCACTCGCCAGCTCAGAACGTAAAACATCCAGCTCAGCTTCCAGCCCTCTCCTGGCCTCCCTCTCTTCCTCCAACTCCCTCTGTACTCCAACCAGCTTCCTATCTGCTTCCTCTCGCCTCTCTCTCTCCTCCTCTACCTCCCTCTCCAAAGCCACCTTCTCGCCTTCTAGCTCACGCACCCTCTCCTCTCTCACATCTCTCTCTGTCTCCAAGCCTCGCATTCTCTCCTCTGCAGCTTCCTTCTCTGCCTGTATCCCCACCAACCGGCCTTCAGCTGCTTCCAGCTGTGACTGCACCTCCTTCAACTGCCCCTCTACCGCTCTCAACCGCTCCTCTTTCTCCACTACCTGTTTCCGTGTCTCTTCAACTTCTTTCTCTGCTTCCACTTCCACCGCCCTCCCTTCCTCCTCCTTCCTCCTCTCCTCCTCTTCTCTCCTCCCCTCCTCCTCCTCCCGCCTCCTCCTCTCCTCCTCCACCTCCACCTGTAACTCCCTCACTCTCCCCTCCAGCCCCACCATCACCCTCTCTCTCTCCTCCCTCTCCCCTCTCGCCTCCTCAACCTCCCTCCTTACTTCTTCCAAGTCCCTCCCCTTTTCCTCTGCCACTTCCCTCCACTCCCTCACTTCCGCCCTCACTCTCTCCAGCTCCAACCCCAATACCCTCCCCTCCTCTCTCAACCTACCCATCTCCTCCTCCAACTCCCTCACTCTCCTCTCCCCCTCCTCCCTCCCCCCTCCACCTCCCCTTTCTCCCTCTCAAGCTCTTCCACCCTCCGCCTCGCTACAGCCAGATCCGTTTCTACTATAGCCAGCATCTCTTCCACCTCCGCTATTTTTGCAGACTTAAAGCCCTCCATCTCTTCCCTCTCCTCCTTCACCTTCTGCAGTTTCTCCTCCGCCTCCTCCCTCTCCCTTCCCAACTCATCCTCCAACCTATCCACTTCGCCCATCAACCTCGCAACCTCCTCCTGAGCACTGCTAAGAGACTTTCTTAGCTGAGTAAGCTCGTTACTTAGCTCCTCGCACTCCTTCTCCCTGCCCGCCAGAGCATCCGTCACCCTTTCCATCATCGCCACAGTTTCCCTCAGCCTCTCCTCTGCCTTCCTCCTCGCCTCCTCCTCTCTTTTCCTCCCTCCTCCTCGTCGCTCCGCGCCTCGCCCTCCTTGCTCCTCGCCTCTTCTGCCTCAGCCAACAACCTTCTCAGCTCTTCTATCTGCTCTCCCGCTGCCACACCCGCCCCTGCTGCTACCACTGCCACTGCCCCTGCCCCTGCCTTTACCCCTGCCTCCGCCCCCGCACCCCCAACTGTCCCTGCCCCTGCACCTGCGCGTGCTCCTGCCCCTGCGTTCCCCTTGAGGGTGTCTATCTCCGCCCTGGCAGCAGCGAGATCGGCGTCCAGCTTCAGCTTCTGCTGCTCAATCGCCTTGCCCTTGCGCACCGCCTTGCTCAGCTTCTCCCTCACCGCGCCCACCTGCTCCTGCGCCTGCCTCAAGGATTCTCTCAGCTGCTCTGCATCCGCTGCCACTGCTGCTCCTGATGCCGCCCCTGCTGCTCCTGATACCGCACCTGCTGCTGCTTCTGATAGCCCCCTTGCTGCTACTTCAACCTCTGCTGCTGCTTCACTCCCCGCCTTCACCTGAGAAAGCTGCGCTTCCAGGAGGGACACCTTCGCATGAAGCCTCTCTATCTCAGCCGCGTCCTCACCACCCGGCGCCTTCACCTCTGCCCCTCCTTCTCCCCCTCCTCCTCCCCCTCCTCCCTCCATAAGCCCTTTCAGTCGCTCGACCTCAGCTCTCGCGTCTGCAGCCGCCTGGGCTTCAGACGCCGCCTTCTGCTTCATGCCCTCTATCCTCTCCTTCGCCTTTTTCACTAAGTTCGCGTTCTTCACCTCAGCTGCTGCCCTGGCTGCCTCTGCTGCCGTCTTTTCTGCTGTTGCAGCCGCCCTCGCAGCTTCAGCAGACTTCAGCAAGGCTTCCTTCTGCTCTACCTCCTTTATAAGCCTTTCTATCTGCTCCTCCAGTCGATCCCTCTCTGCACCAGCCCCTGCGCTTTCACTCTCCTTGCTGCCCTCGCCCATTCCAGCTTGACGTCCCCTTAAAGCCTTTCCTTTCAGCGCACTTATCTCTTCCTCAAGTCCCTTCACCTCTTCCCTCAATCTACTCGCCTCCTCCCTCATCCTCTCACCCTCCTCTCTCACCTTCTCACTCTCCTCTCTCAACCTCTCACTCTCCTCTCTCACCTTCTCACTCTCCTCACTCTTCTCCATCAGCTCCCCAAGCAGCGAGTCCATCCTCTCGAGCACCGCCCTCCTCTCTTTCTCACTCGCCTCCAGCCGCCTCTCACACTCACTCACCTTCCTCTCTCTCTCCTCCACCTCCTCCCTATACCCCTCCAAGGCAGCCCTAAGCTTCTCCACCTCCTCCTCTGCCCCCACCAATCTCTCCCTCACTCCCTCCATCTCTCCCGCCATCTCATCCCTAACCCTAACCACCTCCCCACGAGCGTTGGCAAGTTCCTCCCGAACCTCCTCCAGCTCAGCCCGAGCCTGCGCCAGCTCCGCCCGAACCTCCTCCGTCTCCTGAACCGCCTCCTCAGCCTCGGCCACCCGAGCCTGCAGCTTCTCCAGCTGCGACTCCCGCATTCCCAGAACCTTCCTCAGAGCCGCTGCTTCCGCCTCAGCTTCCTCCTTCACCTGGTCCCTCTCTCGCTCCGCCATCTCCCTTGCTGCAGCGGCCTCCACTGCTATAGCATCCTCTGATGCTTGCGCCTCTGCGTCTTGCGACGCCCGCCAGATCATCTCTCGTGCCGAGATGTCGGTTTTTAGGGTTTCGAGCTCGGTCTCGCGCTGCTCTAGGGTTTCTTCGAGTTCCTCTGCTTGCTGCTGGAGAGAGGTCAGCTCGGCTTGCTTAGCCTCGAGGGCGGCTTGAGCTGACTGAAGCTGCTTGGTTGCTTCTTCCGTGGCTGACTCGCTGGCAACTACCTTGGCCTGGAGGAAGGGGAGACGAACGTGCGGGAACAGCCCAGAAGGTAAGGGAGCAAGGGGGGGGGAAACAGTCGGGGGTTGAGGAGGAATTAAGGTGGGCCTTGCAAGGAGCAGAAGGAGGATGGGTGATGAAGGACGGAGGGTTCCATAATGGATGGGCGGCACAGGAAAGCAGGTGAGCAGCCAGCCAGCATAAGAGAGACCAAAAGCTTCCAGCATGCGGAGGACTCACCAGAGTGACCACTTCCTTCCGCTCTGCTGCCTGCAGCCTCTGCTGCAGCTGCCCCACTTCCCCCTCCAACTCTTCCACCTTCCTCGTAAGCTCTTCTCTCTCCTCCTCCCCTTCCACCACCTTCCTCTGCAGTTTTTCCTTCTCCTCCTCCAACCCTCCCACCTGACTCTGCAGCTGCTCCTTCTCCTCCACCAAGCCGGCCACCTTGCTCTGAAGCCTTTCCTTCTCCTTCTCGACCTCCTCCACCTGACTCTGCAGCTGCTCCTTCTCCTCTCTCAGGCCCACCGCCTTCCCTCTCTCCTCCTCCCTCCCCTCCACCGCACTCTGCAGCTCACACAGCATCTCCCCACACCTCCTCTCCTCCTCCTCCGCACTGCCACTCGCCTCCTGCACCATCCTCCTCTCCGTCTCCACCTGTTGCTGCAGCTGCCCCACTTCATCTTCCAGGCCTCCCACCCTCCCTCGAAGCTCCCCCCTTTCCTCCTCCAACCCGCCCACCTGCTGTTGCAGTTGCCCCACTTCATCTTCCAAGCCTCCCACCCTCTTCCGAAGCTCCTCCCTCTCCTCTCGCAATGCCACCACTTTCCTCCTCTCCGCCTCCACCTGCTGCTGAAGCTGCCCCTCGCTTTCCTCAAGCCTCCCCTGCTCCTCCTCCCACTTCTCCCGCTCCCCCTGCAACCTCCCCAGCAACTCCTCCTTTTCAGTCGCCCACTCAGTTTCCTTCCTCTCCCATTCGCCCCTCTCCATTGCCCACCCGTCCCTCTCCCTCTCCCACTCACTCTTCAGCTCCAGGAACTCTCGCCCCTTAGCCACCAGAAGCCCCTCGATCTCAGCCTGCCGCTGCAGCAGCAGCCCCTCTTCCGCCTTCCACTCCGCCCTCCACGCTTCTACCTCACTCCCACCACTCCTCCCCTCATTCACCTCACTCTCTCTCCTCCTCGCCTCTTCCATCTTCTGCAATAGCTCACTCGATTTGGCCTCTTCCTCCTTCACCCTCCTCTCAGCCTCCATAACCCTTTCCTCAGCGTCCTTAGCTCGTCCCTCAGCCTCTCTCAGATCCGTTTGAAGCCCCTCCACTTGCTCCTCCCAGCCCTTCACCTGCGAATCCATCTCAGCTACCTTCCCCTCCAAATTCTTCACTCTGACTTCCATCTCCCTCTTCTCCTCCTCCACCTCTCTCTTCTTCTCCTCCACACCTCTCTTCTCTTCTTCAGCTCTCCTCCTGGCCTCTTCTGCCTGTTTACTCGTCGCTCTCTCTTCCTCCACTGCTTCCACTAGCACCTCTTTCTGTGCTTGAAGGGACTCCAGCGCTCGAGACAACGCACTCTCGCGCTCCCTTGCCTCTGCTTCTGCAGCAGCAACAGCAGCAGAGACAGCAGACTGAACCGCCTGCTCAATCGCCTCCTTCTGCTGCTCCTCCTTCTCACCTGAGCTTTCCCCTGCCTTCCGCACCTCCTGAATCTCCGTCCTTAGCGTCTCAAGCATCTCCTCTAGCTGCCTCACTCGCTCCCTCTCCCCACTCAGGCTCACCTCCAACCCCGAAACCACGCCCTCCTTCTCAGCAACCTCCCCTCTTGCTGCTGCAACTTCGGCTTGCAGGGCGGCCAGCTGCCCCTCCGTCTCTGCAACGCTCTCCTGCAACCGCTCCACCTCTTTTGAAGCACTCTCTACCTCCTTTGCAGCATCCTCCGCCTTGCTCCTCTCCTCTTGAACCCTACCCTCCCACACCTGTTCCTCCCTCTCCACTTCCCTCCTCCCCGCCTCCCTCACTTCCTCCACCCTAATCTCCATCTCCCTCGCCCGTCCCTCGGCCTCTCTCATCTCCTCCCCTCTCCTAGCCAGCAGCGCATCCCTCTCGGCCACCTGCCCTAGCAACTCCACAGCGCGCTCCCTCCCATCCGCCACCTGTCTCTTCAGCTCTGCAACTTCCTCCCCAGCTGCCCTTACCTCCTCCTCAGCAGCCCTTACCCTTTCTTCAGCCTCCCTCGCCCTCTCCTCCATCTCCCTGACCTTCTCCCCCCTTCCTCCGCCTTTGCTGCCGCGCTCACCTCTGCTGCAGCAACGGCCGCTTCCAATTCCGCCATCCTCCTCCTCCCCTCCTCCAACTCCGCCTCCAGCTCCCCCACCCTCCTCCTCCCCTCTCTCACCTCCCCTTCCTTCGCCTCCACACTCGCTAACGCCTCCCTCCTCCCCTTTCTCTCACCCTCCAGCTCCAGCCTTAGCTTTTCCAGCACAGCCGTTTCCTCAGCCAGGGACCCCTTGAGCGCCTCTCTCTGCTGCACCACCTCCTTTCCCTTCCTAATCGCCACGCCCAGCTTCTCCTTCGTAGCAGCCAGCCTCTCAGTCGCATTCCCCGCCTCGAGCCTAGCAGCATCCGCCTCCGCCCTCAGCCTCTCCCGCTCCCTCTCCCCCTCTTCCATCCGCTCTAGTAAAACCCTAGATTCCTCTTCCTTAGCTGCGAGGGCGGCTGCTGAGTCCCGCAGCTGCTGCCGCCACTGCTGCTCGTCGCCCTGCAGCTTGGCCCTGAGCCTCTCCTCCTCGTCTCTAGACCGGGCCAGCAGCTCCTGCAGCTGCACCAACTCCTCCTCCAGCAGCTCCCTCTGCTCCCCGCTTAGGTTCACCTGGTGAGATAAAGCAGGGGAAAGATAAGTGATGAGTAGAGAGTACTAAGTCGACCATAGAGCTCCCTGCTGTCACCCGCCAGGAACACCTGTTGAGAACGCACCGCAGGGCAAGGGGAAACAGGGGCAGAGTAGGAAAGGATGGACGGCAAAGCGTGACCAAGATGGGAATTACAATGATACGACTCATCAAAACGCGGCATTTAATCAACCTGCCCTGAATCTCGCCTCTCACACACCCACCCTTACAGTGAATGCCCCTCTATCAAAACTCACCCCTCTCTCAACGCCCCCAGAACCCTCAACCCCGCCACCGAATTCCCGGGCCGTATGAGCACTATCACTCTTCCGCCTCTCCACCTCCTGTCTCTGCCTCTCGCACTCCTCCCTTAGTCTCTGCAGCTCGCCTTCCAGCCCCGCCCTCTCCTCCCTGAGTCTCTGAGACTCCTCCCTTAATCTCTGTGTCTCCTTCACCTGCCGGCCCCTCTCCTCCTGCAGCGCCGCCACCGTCTCCATCATCGTCTCATACTGCCCCCGAACCACCGCCATCTCCTCGCCCAGCCTCGCATTGCGCTCCCTCTCCCCTTCTATAACCACCTCCTTTTCAAGCAGCTGGTCAGCCAGCCGCCCCTTCTCCTCCTCCAACCCCTTCCATCTTCCCATAGCCGAGGCAACCTGCCGTTTTAGTTGTTCCGCAGCAGCTTCCATTTCGGCCTTCATTCTGGCCAGGCGTTCCGTCTCTGCCTTTTTCTCCGCCTGAACCTGCGCTGTCACTCGCTCCATCACCTCCTCCCTGTCCCTCTCCAGGAACACCAGCCGCTCCTCCTTCTCCTTAAGTATCTCTCTTAGCTCAGCAACCTCCGCTGAATGCCGCTCCATCAAGTCAACGAATCTGGCGTCAACGCTCCTGGACTTCCTCCCCGTATCACCACCCACACCATTGCCAGCACCGTACGCTGCAGCCTTAGATACAGCCTCCCCGGGATCCAGCCCAACGAGGCTCTTGAGCGTGGCTAGCTCCCTTTCCAGGGCATGCACTCTGCTGGACTTCTTTCTAAGCTCCTCCCTTAATAGCACCTCCCCTCCACTCCCACTCCTCCACATCCCACTCAACCCAGCACCACCACCACCGCTACCACCACCGCTACCACCACCGCCACCTAAACCAGCACCACCAGAACCAGCAGCACCGCCACCACCAGCATAACCAGCTCCCCCTCTTTCCCTCCCCTCCATAACCACCGATAACCTCCTCTTCAGCTCCACTACTTTCAGCTCGAGCCTCTCCACATACTTCTCCCTTGACATGGTTACCACTGACCCCCGCTCTGACAGCGACCCATCGTCACTGTTCGTCTCGAGGGAGAACCGCCTCACGCCAGCAGCAAAGGAGCCGTCTAGGGCGCCGTTGGACGACCAGGGGACGGCGGAGGTGAGGGAGGAGAGGGAGGAGGTGGAAGGGCTTCGGGAGAGGGGGGCGGTTGTGGGGCGAGTTGCGTGACTGGGAGAGGCTGCTTCCTGCTCCCTCTCGTGCGGCTCATGGGGATGTGCAGTAGACGGTCTCCGCATCCCGTCTGCGCCCTCCCCTCGGACTCCCTCCCCATGCGCTGCCGCCCCTTGAGCTCCCGAGCCCTGCCATGCGAGTTGGAGTGGAGCAGTGGCAGGGTGGCAGGGGCGGGTGCTCAGGCCTTTTAGAAGCAGCTGGCTGGCTGGACCTTCCGTCTTCCAACGCGCGACCCCTTCCCCCTTCATCCTCTACTTCCCCTTCACCTTTTCTTCCCCTTCATCCTTCTCTTCCCCTTCATCCCCTTTCCTCCCCTTTCCTCCGCTTTCTCCCCCTTCTCTCCCTTCATCCCTCTACGTGCTACTATCTGACTCGGTACCTTACCCTGTATCGTATAACCACGACCTACATTCTCGATACACCACTTCGTTAAATAACCAGTAATAATAATTAAAGAAAAAAAACTCACCTTTTCAGAATGTCTCGCCTTTTTGAGAATGCGTCACCTAATTCAGTGTGCCTCACCTTATTGAGAATCCCCTGGGCGATGGTGCGGAACTCCCGAGGGCCAGCAGTGAACGGCCGCAGGAAGCCTCCAGAGGACGAGTCGGAGCTGGTGGCACTGGACGGCGTGCCGCCAGTGGGCGTCATGAAATCCCCATCCCCGCCAGCACTGCTGCTGCTGATCGTCCTCCCCACAGCCGTTGATCCTGACTCTGCTGACGCCGTGGACTCTCTTGGCTGGCTCTGGAACGATTCTCGGGCTTGGATCTGCACGCTCAGGCCCAGCTGGGGGAGGTCGCTACTGCTGCCCGACGCCTGGCCTTGGGATTGCCTCCGGGCTGCTGCTGGGCCAGAGGATGCGCTCTGATTGGAGGAGCCCTGTGGAGTCGTGGGGGCCGTTGATGGCATCTTGGCCTGCGAGATGGACGGGTGTAGGGATAAGTGGGGGGAGGGGAGATGGGGGGAGGGAGAGGGCAAGGATTATGCGATTTGAGTCAGCTCATATCAAGGAGGGAGACTACACGGACTGAGGAGCTGGCATGTTCGAAGGCATTCGGAATTGGCGTGGAATCAAGGCAATACAAGTCGTCATAGCAGAGGTTGAGGAATTCCAAATGACTGACAAATTATGGCAGGCCAATAGGTTGAACCATTCGTATTTTGAGTCGACTCAAAATGCAGAGGTTGAGGAATTCCAAATGACTGACAAATTATGGCAGGCCAATAGGTTGAACCATTCGTATTTTGAGTCGACTCAAAATGCAGAGGTTGAGGAATTCCAAATGACTGACAAATTATGGCAGGCCAATAGGTTGAACCATTCGTCAGGATCCGGAGAAGAGAACCTGCCAGCTGATGAGACTTCGATCCGGTCTTACTGTCACTCCAGAGAGAAGGATGGAGATTAGAGAGAAACGGAGAATACTAAGGTAAGGAGGCTAGAGAGGACAGAGGAATATTCCTGAGTCATCATGAGTACCTTATCTTGCTGTCCTCCTTTAGAGCTTCCTCCCGATTTCGCTTGTTGCTTCTTTCGATACTCTTCCAGCTGTTCGGGCAGAAGAAACGGGGAGCACGGCTCGATGTAAATTTAAGAGCAGGAATTCCACATCAGGAAGTATCGGAAGCATTTAGACGTGGCGAAATGAAACGGATAAGAAAAATGATCTCATTCCGAGAGTCATTCTCCTTACCCGCTTCTTCCCAGCCGTCATGAGCTCCCTCCGATCCATCCTTAGCCGACAACCATATCACCCAATCACACCGTAACGATCGGTGAATTCGCTTCGCGAGAGCACCAGCGTGCACTATTCAGTCAGAATCTCAACGAATCCATGTGTCATAGTCGCCTCTGATATCCCCTATTGCAGCTTCGCGTGGCACCAGTGGCATCTAGACTGGTACTAACAATGGTTCCTGCAGCCTAGGTGTTGGCTAGGCTACTGCTTCTAGAGATTGGTTTTTGCCCAATACAATCTCGATGGAGCATTGGTGTTCACGGCGAAAGGGAAAATTTCGTCTGGTTACGTCGGATGAGGCATCCAGAGTAAATCTGGGCTGGAAGAAAACATTCGTGCGCTCGCGAAACCGTGTGCGAGTTCCACCGGCGAAAAGCGAATGTTGCGCGAAATACCTGGCGAGTACTGCGGCGAGGGCCAAGTTTCGCGCCTTCAGTTGTCAGATCCGCCTCACCGAATCAAGGCATTCCCAAGGTATCAGCTGGTATCCATACGCGATAAAATTCCCTTACTGTGGTGTACTGGTTCTGTGGTGTACTGGACCTGTGGTGTACTGGTTCTGTGGTTTCAAACCAAATTTCACAGGTCCAACTCTTTCCTCGATCAATGCCAGCTTCACCCGAGCAGGTGAACCTTGGCTCCAGTCTGGCAAACTGGACCCGCGTCACGCTGCACAGGCGCGGTAATGGCGGACGCTGCAGAACCTCCTGAAGAGGCATTTTGTACTTCCGCAGCGTTTCAACAGGCCGCGAAACTTCCGCGAACCATTCTTCTGGACATATTTCAACGCCTACCCGCTGAAGGGGCAGGCGGGATTATTTGCGCCATGCTCACTTGCAGGTGCGCTCGCCCCCTGCGCGTTTTCCCCCGCATGCTCCCCGTGGGCGCTATTCTCGCCCCATTAATTTCCGCCTTTGTCTGAGCGTCCCCACTTGTCCGCGCTCCTTCCGCTACAGGCTCCCTTGCGCCTTTTCCCACCTTTCCGCGGTTTCCCCGTGCGCCTTTTCCCCATCTTCCCCACATTCCCTCGGTTCCCCTTCCGCCCTGTTCCCCGTATTTCCCACCTCCGCGGTTCCCCCGTCCGCAGGGACTGGCGCGATGCGGTGGTCGCGGAGGAGCGGGATGCGGGGGGCGCAGGGGGGGAGGCGTTCTGGCGGAGAGTGTTTGAGCGGAGGTTTGGGGGAAGGGCCGCGCACTGGAGCAGGGGGGAGCAGCCGCGCGCGGAGGGAGAGGGGGAGGGGGAGGGGGAGGGGGAGGGAGAGGGGGAGGGAGAGGGGGGCGGAGGGAGTGAGTGTGGTGTGTGGAAGAGGAGGTATAGAGAGAGAGTGGAGGTGGGGAGGAACTGGAGAGAGGGGAAGTGCGGTGCGTGGGGGATACACGGGGGGAGAGGAGAGGTGTGGGGAGAAGGGGGGGAGAGAGGAAATACGGCGGAGGAGGAGTGGAGCGAGTTAGAAGCACCAAACGTGACGCAAGAAACACAGTCAGCAGCAACAGCAGCAGCTGCAACTCCATCATCATCAGTACTATTACCACCACCATCATCACCAGTAGCCATTACTGTGATCAAGGTAGACAACACCCTCCTCCTCCTCGGTACCTCCCACGGCCAACTGCAGGTTTGGCACCTCCCCTCTCACTCCCTCCTCACCTCCCTCTTTCACCCTCACCCCCTCCCCATCACCTCCCTCACTCTCTCTGAAAGCCTCGGGGACCCCCCACGGGTGCCCCAACCGCTCTCCCACGCTGCAACTGGGTGTGCTTGTAACGAGGATGGCTGCTGTGCTAGTCACGGGGAAAGCTGCTGTGCTTGTAACGAGGATGGGTGGAGGCTAGTGGCGAGTGCAGCAGCGGATGGGTCTGTGCGCGTCTGGAGCCTCCCGAGGTGGCCCACTGCCAACAGGCCGCCGTCAAAAGTGTTACAATCAGAGCCACAAGTGACACAAGCAGGGGCGAATGAGGCACCGGTACCAGCAGGGGCAACCGAGGCACCACCGGTACCAGCAGGGGCAACCGAGGCACCACCGGTACCAGCAGGGGCAACCGAGGCACCACCGGTACCAGCAGGGGCAACGGAGGCACCACCGGTACCAGCAGGGGCAACGGAGGCACCAACGGTACCAGCAGGGGCAACGGAGGCACCACCGGTACCAGCAGGGGCAACGGAGGCACCACCGGTACCAGCAGGGGCAACGGAGGCACCAACGGTACCAGCAGGGGCAACGGAGGCACCACCGGTACCAGCAGGGGCAACGGAGGCACCACCGGTACCAGCAGGGGCAACGGAGGCACCACCGGTACCAGCAGGGGCATCGGAGGCACCACCGGTACCAGCAGGGGCATCGGAGCGGCAGGGGTTCGGAGGGACATGCATCGCTGTCATGCCTCGTAGATCCGGGTCCTCCTCCCTGTGGTTCTTGGAAGGAGAGATGGGGGAGAGACAATTGTGGGAGGACCTAGAGCGAGCGAGAGGAGGGGGGAATGGGGAGGGGGAGATGGGGGAGAGACGACTGTGGGAGGACCTAGAGAGAGTGAGAGGAGGGGGGAGGGGGGCAGGGGGAGGTAGGGAGAGGGGAGGGGAATGGGAGGGCGAGGAGGGAGAGGGGGAGCAGGTGGGGTGGAGGCCGAGGAGGTGCAAGAGAGTGCCGAAGGAGAGGTGGGAGGGTGGAGGAATGAGGGCGAGAGAGTCAGTCACTCGGCCATGCCGTTACCAGGGAGAAAAGGTGGCAGCCACTCAGGTGTGCCCTCGTGCTTGCAAGGGAGACATGGTGTGCCCTCGCCCTCGGTATCTGCTGGGAGAGGGGAGGAGGGGTGGCGTTGACTCGTACAGCATACACGTGTGGGACTTGGGCTCTGCTGGATGCTCGTCTGCACCTGGTCAGCAGCGGTCAACGCAGGGTCAACAGAGGTCAACGCACAGTCATCAGGAGTCAACGCACTGCCAACATGAGTCAATGCACAGTCAACAAGAGTCAATGCACAGTCAACAGGAGTCAGCGCACAGTCAACAGCAGTCAACGCACGGTCAACAGCAGTCAACCCCCAATCAACAGCAGTCAACGCATGGTCAACAGCAGTCAACGCACGCATCACAGCCATCATCGCACGTCCCAGCACAGGCCAAGTTGCAGCGTGTGTACCACCGGACCCTAGCCTTTGACTCCTGGACCGGCGTGGTTGCGGTAGCGGTGTCTGACACCGACGCTTACACTCCCAATCACTCTCACATTCGATTGCAGCACGTTCTTTCCAGTCACACCCTGCTGGACATCCACCCCTGCTGCGAAGCCTCTGATACAGTCACAGACGTGGCGTTCAGCCACTCAGAGCGGCACACGTGGCGGCTTCTGATCGGCTCGATGCTCGGGGTGATCCGTGTGTATGACTTGGAGAGAGGAGGAGGGAGAGGGAGTGGCGGAGGATCTGGAGAGAACCGAGGAGAAAGTAGGGTAGGAGGGGGGCTGAACAGAGGGGGGAGTGGGGGAGGAGGAGGGGGAGAGAACCAAGGGGGGAGTGGCATCCGGCCATCTATCATGTTCTCCATCAAGCTGTGGGAGCAGATGATGCAGTTCTCACTCAACGAGCGCATCTTCTGCCTCACTGTACGCGTCTACTGCTCATGTCCACTGTTCATGTCTACTGTTCATGTCCATGCATGTTCTCTTTTTCCAAGGTGCACTGTCAACCTCACTTTCCAAGTAGCGCTGAAGTTTCGAGACGTCGCAATAATGTCTGCCTCACTCTTACTAGCGCTACTGTCAAGTGAAAGGGACTTCATATTAGGGCTGTTTAGGCCATGCTGAAGCCTATGAGGCTCCACCACACTGCACCGAAACGATCCCTCCCCCATCCTTCCCCACAGACCGCCATAAACAACACTCAAGAAGGTATCCCTGGGTCCGCCTTCGCTCGGGTGTGGGATGTGGATGCTGCTGCTGTGGCCGCCCACCTCTGCCAGGTGGGTTTGCCCTGGTCAGCCAGTCCACGTGCACTCTGAGTCGACTCAAAGCCCACCTCTGCCAGGTGGTTTTGTCGTGGTCAGCCAGTCCACGTGCACTCCTCCCACCAACTCGCACAAGGCACCCCAGGCTCTGGCTTCGCGCGGAGGTGCCTGGCAGGTGCTGGCAGGTGCTGGACGGCGCTGGCAGGTGCTGGCAGGTGCTGCCATGTGCTGGCAGGTGCTGCCATGTGCTGGCAGATGCTGCCATGTGTTGTAAAATATATATCTATACAACATGCATGCCTAGATTAGGAGGTGTAGTCATTATAAATATTGGGGGGTTGTTGGTTGGGTTGACCAACCCCACATTTGGGTTGGTCAAGATTGGATTTGGTCCTAGACATTTGGTTGGCACTATTCCAACCAAATGGTCCTTGGTCCTAGGAACCAACCAATCACCAAGCACCACACTTTGTGGTTGCTTGCCTTCCAAGCAATCTCTCTCATTGGTCCACATTGTGGCCAATCAGAGAGCACCACACTTTGTGGTTGCTTGCCCTACAAGCAACCTCTCCCATTGGTCCACTTTATGGCCAATAGGAGAGCTTCCCTTCCAACTCTTCCTTGCTCCTTGTTTTGTACAAAAGAGCCTCTTGGCTCCCTACTCAATCAATCTTTTCTCTTCCAAGCTATTTCCTTCACCATGTGCTGGCAGGTGCTGCCATGTGCTGGCAGGTGCTTCCATGTGCTGGCAGGTGCTGGCAGGTGCCGGTGCTGGCAGGTGCGGGAAGGTGTTGGCGGGTTCAGTTCCTGGTCCAGTGCCCGGTCCAGTGTTGGTCCACAGGCCCATCCACTGCCCGGCCCAGTGCCCTGTCCACTGCCCGGTCCACTGCCTGGCCCAGTGCCCTGTCCACTGCCCGGTCCACTGCTCGGCCCAGTGCCCTGTCCACTGCCCTGTCCACTGCCCGGTCCACTGCCCGGTCCACTGCCCGGCCCAGTGCCCTGTCCACTGCCCGGTCCACTGCCCCTCGCTTGCTGTCCCTCCAGTTGCGTCCTCCTTTCAGCAAGTTTTTCAGTTTTCTAAAAAATTTGTATCATCCTCAAGATGCCTCGCTTGACCTCCCAGCAGCCATGCACCTCCCCCACTGCTGCCACCGTTGTGCTCTTACTTGCTCCTTCCCTCCTTGCGTGTTGAAAACCCGATGATCCTTCTATCAATACCTTCAAGCCGATGGGGCCATGGCTCTGTGGACCGCCACTCATATCCCTTTCATGCCTACGCTGTTGCTGGCTTGTGACTGTGCGCCCTCACACTCCAGGCGCGGCCCCCTTTCACGGAGGTGCTTCACTTGGACTCCCAGCAGCCCTGCATCTCCCCCACCACTGCCACTGCTGTACTGCTACGAGCCGATGGGGCCATCGCTCTGTGGACCACCACTCAGTGCAGCACTGACACTCAATGCAGCAATGATAATGAAACCGTTACATCTCACTGCATTACATCTGACAGCTCTGATGCAGCACTTGCTCCTCATCCTTCCCAGCAGTGCCAGGATGGCTTAGTCTATCTGCCCGGCCCTCCTCTGTGGCAACCCCAATCAAATCTCCCTTCTTGTGCTGCTGCCTCGTCTGCTGCCGCTGCTACTGTTGCTGCTGATGGTGATGGTGGTGGTGGTGATGGTAGTGATGGGAACGGTGGGGGTGACATTGGTGATGGTGACAATGGGGATCAGGACAATAGTGAGTGGGTTATTGCGGACAGCAACTGGAGATGGCTGGTTGTGGCACGAGGAAATAAAGCACATGTGCACGACTTCATTCTGCGCTAAATGTTTCGTTGTAGTGTACCACGAACAATAATATCGGTTATGATCATGCGGCTCCGTGGGTTTTTCTCCATCACTATACTGGTATCTGAGTTAAAGTAACAGCCATGAACCTGTGAAAGGAGCGGGGAAAACCAACCTGTGGGGGGTAACAAGGGAGTCCTAGCGTACGTGAACTGCTGCTGCATGCTGAGATGTCTCAGCAGACAGAAGGAGAGAGGGCAACAGGACAATATCCTGCTCTGGCCCACGTTTTGGGCTGCTGAGGAGATATAAAGAGATACGGTAGCTGGCTAAAGGCACACACCAAAAAGGCGTAGCTGGGTGTCTACAAATATACATAAGCTCCAGCCAGCCAGCGCCAGCTCAAGCTAGCCAGCGCCAGCCACCGCCAGCCAGCGCTAGCCAGCGCTCCGCGCCAGCGCCAGCTGCCAGCAGCCAGCCGCCAGCCACCAGCACCAGCCGCCAGCGTCAGCCGCCAGCCGCCAGCCGCCAGCCGCCAGCCGCCAGCCGCCAGCCGCCAGCGCCGGCCGCCAACTGCCAACCGTCAACTGCCAGCCACTAACCGCCGACTCTAGCTGCCAGCCGTCAGCTTCGGCCTCCTGCAGCCGGCCACCAGCCGACGGCACCAGTCGCCAGCCGCCAGTAACCGACCGCCGGCTCCAGCTGCCACCGGCGACTAGCCGCCGACACCCAGCCGTCAGCCGCCAGCTACCACTACTCGTGGCCAGCCGCCGACCACCAGCCGCCAGCTGCAGTCGGCCGCCAGCCGCCAGTCGCCAGTCGGCCGCCAGCCGCCAGTCGCCAGTCGGCCGCCAGCCCCATGCCACGTGGACTGTCAGTTCCCCATGTGCCGCCTCACGCCGCCAGTCTTAGTGTCTCCTCGCTTGCTCCTCGGCGTCCTGCTCCTAGTAGCTCCTCTCGCTCGTACTTCCTTCTCGTTTGATCCCCACTCCTCCTCGCCGCTAGTAGCCTACCGCCAGCTCACTAGCCGCTGTCCACTCGCAGCCAGCTAGCCGCCGCCCGCCGGCTCGCCCCCAGCTAGCCGCCAGCAGCGCCTGCCAGCTCGCCGCCAGCAGCTGCTCGCTAGCACGCCAGCTCGCCAGCTCGCTGCCACCAGTCTGCCACTTGACGCCACTGCCAGACCGCTACTCCGGCCACAACCGCCACTGCTGCTACCTTTGTTAGTGCTCCTGTAGTCCCTAGCGCCTCCCACTAGCCTCCTCCTCATTTTTAGAGTTCCTCGATGCCTCTCCTCTCGCCATGATGGACTCGTTGGGGTCAGTCCCTTGGCCAGACCGCCTGGGACTTCCCTCTCCGGTTTCTTGCTCACCGTCTAGAGCTGGTAAGCCCGCACGTAGTCTGCACGCTCCTGGAGGACCACATTAGTTCCTTCCTTAGCTTCTGGCCCCTTGACCTCGACGTCCGCTTCCGGGCTCTCTGGCCAGCGCCGCAGCTGCAGCAGCAGTCGCAGTGGGGTCTTGGGGGTTTTGGGCACGATGGAGGCCCTGGAGGTGAGGCCCCGGGGCGGTCACTGCCCTGGGTTCAGCATGGTTTCTTTGGAGGTCCGGGGGCCTGTGGGCTTGGGGGTCTAGGTCACACTACTATGTCTAGTCTAGGAGCCTCTACTACATGTCCCCTAGGCTCCTCCCTTAGCCCTCCTATGGTGGGCCCTCTCCTTCACACTCGACTCTGGCGCGTCTCACTGCTTCTTCCGAAATAGTACTGCTCTCACCCCGCTTTTTGCACCGATCCACATCTTCCTAGCAGACTCCCCCGCCACAGCAGTCGCACGCAGCACCACCACTCTCTCTTGTGCAGCTGTCCCCTCTGGCTCCCTCACAGGTCTGCACATCCCTACGTTTGTCAGGAACCTAGTTGGTGTCGGTCACATCCCAGGACTGAGGAATCACCACCACGTTTCCTAGCTACGTGAGAGACGCACCCTGTACAGACGCAGCCACGAGTGTCCCTGCGGTGCCACCACCCATGGCACAGGTATCCCACGTATCTCAGCAGCCTCCTCCCTTGCCCCAGCAGCAGCATCAGCATCCTCAGCAACTGCAGTAGCAGCAGCAGCAGCGGCAGTAGGGGACAGTGGGGGCTGGGAGTGCTGGTTCTGGGGATGCTGGTTTTGGGGGTGCTGGTTCTAGGGGTATTGACTCAGGGGGTGCTGGTTTTGTGGGTGGTGTGCCAGGGGGTACTAGTCATGGGGGTGCTGTTTCGGAGAGCAGAGGCGGTAGCTGAGGTGGAGCTGGAGATCCTTGAGAAGATAGGGAGCAGCAACAGCAGTAGCCGCAGTCTGCCCTTCGTCTCCTTGGCCTTTCCTCCGGTTCCCCTAACCGCCCACTCGTCCCCCCTACTGTGCCTCCTCTCCCTGCCTGACCCTGTCTACGGCCAGCTGTTCTCTTTCCCGGACTCCTCTCCGGCTCGTATTCCCCCCGCACTCTCCTCCGTCCCCTGTCCAATCCTCTTTTCCTCCTCGTCCCCAATCCCCCGTTCTTCCCCAATGGGTCCGTCGTCCCTCTGGTGGTCGTCCTGTCTCTCCTCGTCCTAGTGTCCACCCTATGGTCCTTCGTTCTGCTCCTCCAGTCCCTGTTCTTCCATTACCTCCTCCGTCGTCGCTCCCGCTGTCCTCTGCTCCTCCCTCTGACTCTGTTCGCACTGCTCTCCTACCACTTCTTGTTACTAACCCTACCGCTCCTTCTGAGACTGTCTCTGCGCTTGTCGCTGCTGTCCCTCACTTCGCTGCTAGCCACTGCCCTGACTACGATGCCGCTCTCGTCTCTGTTAGTGTCTGTTCTCCGTTTGTCAGGGTGCATTTGCGTTTGGCAGTGACGTCCTCGAGGACAGGCAATAGGAGTTGGCCTACCTTGCTGCCGCTGTACCCCATCTCTGCGTCATGCTTGTATCCCCAGAGGGCGACCCGGACGCCCTTGACATCCCTATCCCGCGCTCTTATGCTGAGGCGGTCTCGGGTGCCTGAGCAACCCAGTCGATAGAGATAATGGAGGCACAGATGGCATCCTACAGATCCACACACACGTAATCTCCCGGTATGATTACCCCCCCGAAATAGGGACTCTGGGTCTTTTTTCCGGACCATGGGTCTTAATATAGTAAAGGGATTGTGAGGACCCGCTGTTTGGGGTAAATCATTTGAGGACCCCCCCCTTTTCAGTTTTAAGAGGTTTTTCTGGCAGTTTTTGCTCAATTTCGAAATGCGTCATGCACTACGAAGTCAACTTCCACATCATGGAGACTCCGTAAACGAACCCCCCCTCGTAATGACTCCCGCTGGCAGTCAAGAAGCCCGCGCAACACGTCAGTTTCTTAGCACCAAGTTGCCAGCCGTTGGTGCTAAGAAACTGACGCGTGTCCATCTAGATGGCTCGGACAAAAAGAGGCTAAGAATCCTGTCCCCCGTTTGAAACAAATGACCCCCTGTATTACCCTGATTGGATTGGAATACCATAACATGTGACAAAAAAACACCTTACGTATTAAATAATTGCACATGGGTCTTATTAATTACCATCCTTTAAAATGTCCACCCAAACGATTTTCACTGAATTTTCCATAAGACCTAGGGTCATCATGCCGGGAGATTACGGTACGTCGATGCAGTTCCCCCGCTTGGGGCGAACGTGGTCGATCACATGATCTACATGGTGAAGCGCATATCAGAATGAGAGAGAAGAATGATGAGTAGTGGGAGAGTACAGATAGATATACCTAAGACTTGTACCCTCTAAGAGGTCACCCTATACAGTCTATGCAAACATAACAAATACACATGTTTGACACACCCCCTAGACTGCATAGGGGAATACCCTAAACAAGCAGCTCAGGGCGGCACTACTAGTCCAACCTCTGAGGCAAGGGTCTGAGCGACCGGTCAGAAGGAGTACAGACAAGGCAAGCACAAGAGCAGGGCGGCACTACTAGTCCAGCCACTGGGAGAGGACACAAGTCCAGTCTGAGTATACATATAACGGGCAGTACAAAGTCAAGGCCCTAGCAAGTGAGAGGCTACAGGGACTAGACCAAGCTGTACGCAGTGCCGCTGATGATATTTCGGCGCAAGCGCCTTCGTAAAGATATCAGCTGTGTTGGCACCTGAGGCCAAGTGTACTACGCGAGCCTGGCGTCGCTGCTGTAGCTCGCGCAAGAGGAAGTATCGCAGCTGAATATGCTTCGCTCTGCCCTCGAGTCGAGGCTCCTGACACAGGAGGATCATGGCCCTGTTGTCAGCGAACAGGACCGGGGCAGAGCTAGGCTGCTCACCTAAGTCAGTGAGCAAGAAGGTCAGCCAGCGGAGCTCCTGTGCCGCAATGGCACCAGCGTAGATCTCGGCCTCACAGCTAGACTGGGCAACAGACGAGGAGCGGGTAGCTCTCCACGAGACGACACCTGAGCCAAGGCTGAAGCAGTAGCCCTGGGTAGACCTGAGTGTCTCGGCGTCGTCTGCCCACGAAGCGTCGGTGTGTCCAGTAAGGACCACTGGCCTGCGTTCTCCTAGCACTAACCCCATGTCCGATGTACTAGCAAGATAACGCAAAACCCTCTTAGCGGCAGACCAGTGCTGCGGTCGGTGTCTGCCTGTGGCCTCAAAGCGAGCCAGGATGCTGAGATGCGAGATCTGGGCGAGTGCAAGTCATCAGGTACATGAGGCAACCCACCAGCTCTGCGTAGGGGCCGCTGGGCTCAACCGACTCCTCAGACACTGGAGCGGAGAGTCTGTGGTCTACAGGCAGAGGGGTGGGCTGTGCAGAGGAGAACTGAAGGCTGAACCTCTGAAGGACCTGGCGCACCAAGTGTGACTGAGTCAGGGTGATGGTGCGCGCTGCTCTGTCCCTGGAGATCTGCAAGCCAAGGTAACGGCGCAGTTCTCCAAGGTCCATGCAAGTGTGTCTCTTCAGCAGCTCTGCCTTCACGGAGGCCAGTGCGTCCCTGTCTGCTGTGGCAAAGACCAGGTCGTCGACGTAAACAAGGATATAGAACGGAGTCTGGCCAGCACGAACGAAGAGAGAGGGGTCTGCGGAAGACGGAAAGAACTGCA